TCCCCTTGCCATGACCTGGCTTAACAACCATCATCAGGTCCCAGGTATACCCAAATAGTCCCACATCAGGTCTACCTTCCCTCGGGGGAAATGCTGACAAACTGCAGTGTCGTTCAGTGCCTCCCTCTAGCTACTGTTCCTTCCCCAACTGAAAGCTGTTCTGTTCTCCCAACCAGGCAGCCCCTAACTGAGCCAGCTCTCCTTTTTAGCCCTTTCCTTCAGGCCTGACATCAACTACAGGAGTAGCAGGAGGGGCTGACTGAGATTCTAACAGCTTGTTAACCCTTTCCAGGTCTGCGTGGGGCTTGTCAGCCCCTTCATAGGAGTTACAAAATAATTTTTAAATGCAAAATTTCTGATTCTAGATAAAGTTTATCAGAGACCCAAACAGATAACAGCAATATTGGTGGATGAGTATATTGATATCATCATGTGGGCCAATTCTGTCTCATTAGTTCCTTGTACTCCCCTATCTATAGAATCAGAGAACACTAGAACTGAAGGGACCTTGAGAGGTCATCGAGTCCAGTCCCCTGCCCTCACGGCAGGACCCAGTACCATCTAGACCATCCCTGATAGATGTCTATCTAACCTGCTCTTAAATATTGCCAGAGTTGGAGATTCTACAACCTCCCTAGGCAACTTATTCCAGTGTTTAACTACCCTAACAGGCAGCAAGTTTTTCCTAATGTTTAACCTAAACCTCCCTTGCTGCAGTTTAAGCCCATTGCTTCTTGTCCTATTCTCAGAGGCAAAGGAGAACAATTTTTCTCCCTCCTTCTTGTGACACCCTTTTAGATACCTGAAAACTGCTAGCATGTCCCCTGTCAGTCTTCTCCTATGTGTGTATCCATCTTCTATCTCTTGTCTGATACACAGTTCAGCAGCTGGGATAGGGACCATCATTTTGTTTTGTGTTTGTACAGTGCCTAGCTCAGCAGAGTCCATGACTCAGGTTCCTGTATCCTATGGCAATACAGCACAATACAAAAATAATAATAATGGGAAAGGTTTATCTAGAAGCAGCTGCTTGCTTCAGGTTAGTGCAGAAGAATTAGGGAGTGAAAAGATTCAGGGACACAAGCCAAGAGAAGCATGCATATTGAACAGACAGCATCAGTGCAGCCAAGTCAAGTTTCTGTCCATTTCAGTAGCCTCAAGTGCTGTCAGTAATGCAGAGAAAGCGTGGAATCATATATGGGATTATTATTTTGACTGTGTGACTGTAAATAATATATTCGATTCCTGTCACATTCTGCAGCCCAAAACACTTAACGGATTGGGCACATGAAGGGACTGCTCCCCTTTCTGCTGAAATGCAGCCACCTCAGGGATAGGATGTCACAACTGCATTCAACCAACACTGTATTTTATAGGAGGGAAAGTGAGTGACAACACCATTGTACATTTACAGGGCTGCATATCAGTCAATCTGCAAAGTACAGGGGATAGGGCACCATTGAAGATGTTGAGAAGGAGGCAACAGGAGGAGGAACCGCAGTTCTCACAAGTGTGGTCTTTGCCATCCCTGCAGCTCATTTTGTGTCATGTTTCTTAGGGTCTCATCCAAATACACAGTTATTTACATATACTATCAATTGCAGGGGGCTCAGCTTCCCTATCATGGACAAACAACAACAGAGAATTGTGGCATCTGTTCAGCCCAGTGGTCCACTTAGCCAGCCCAGTATGGTGGCTAATGTAAGCTGCTTCAGAGGAAGCTGCAAGAAATGCTGCAGAGGTGTGTTAAGAAATGACCTGCCCCCAGGAGAAATAGCCTCCTGTCACTATCCATTAGTTATTGATGCATGAAAGCAGGAGGGTTTCTATCCCTTTTTTGTTTCCTCTCTAATGTAACCCTGGATGTTTTCATTATTCACATAAATGTGTCATTCTGCTAAGCTCTTGGCTTGAACGTCATGTCTTGTGGCAATGAGTTCCAGAAGTTAATTGTGCTTTGGGTATAAAACCTCAGGCGATGTCTATACAATGAAGCCTATGCCAGCATAACCCACTAGTGCAGAGATAATGTATGCCATCAGAAGCTTTTCCTGTTAGTGTAGCTTTTCCTCCCCGAATGACATTGGCTACGCTGACTGAAGCTCTTTTGCATCAGCATAGCTGCATCTACATTGGGCTTTTTGTCAGGCTAGCTATGTCATTTTTTTCATACCCCTGACCAATATTGCTATGTTGGTATAAGTTTGAAATGTTCACTGCTATGGTGCCTAAAATACACAGAAGACAAAGAGAATCACAGTTATTCACACATTGTAATACCAACGGAGAATGCATCAAAGCATCTCTTCTTGCTTAAGCTAGAGAGATGTGTCTACACATCAGGGCTTAACTCAAAATAAGCTACACACATTGAGCTACGTAAAATGAATAGCTTATTTCGAAATAGCTTATTTCAAAATTGAGAGTATCTACACAGCACTTACTTTGAAATAGAGCACTCTCTTCCTCTGACTTCTCTTGCTCCTCATACAATGATGGTATGTCTAGACTACAGAGTTTTGCTGGAAAAATGGCAATTTTTCTGACAAAACCAGAGTTACATCCACATTGCAAGTGCGTTCTTTCTATAGTATATCGAAAGAACAGAGGGCTTTTTTTGCGCAATTGGTAATCCTCATTCTACAAGAAAGAAGCCTTTTTGTGAAAGAACTCTTTCGCAAAAAGGCGTGTGTGGACAGGGAAGAGGGAGTTTTTTTGGAAGAAGAGGGAACAGGAAAAGCACAGGTGTCCTGGCGGCCATTCTGTCCATAGCAATTAGCATCCAGGTAGTCTTTTGTGAGAGCGCTTTTGTAGTGTGGACGCTCTTTTTCGGAAGTTTTTCTGGAAGATCTCTTCAGAAAAAAGTTTCTTGTGCAACAAGCCTGCAGTCTATAGATGTAGCCTGAGGGTTACAAGAGTCGGAGTAAGAAGTTCTCCAGCTTGACAGTATTTCAACATTATTTCGAAATAACTGCCTGCTGTGTAGACATGGACTAAGTTATTTCAAAATAATGCTAGTTATTTCAAAATAAAGTTGCTGTCTAGACATAACCCTAGTTCAATGAGAATGGAACATATGGCCCTTATAACATTAAAACAGACAGTTTTAAAGCTTTTATCTTCAGATGTTTTGCGTTATCCAATCACACTGTTTTACTGGGACATATGAGAAAAGTGTGTGTTATGTTTTCCAACTCTACACTCCACCTTCCCCTCCCCCGGTCCCAATCTCGGCCGCTTTATTGGCCGGCACTGGCTCCCCCAGCTGTGGGCATTCTGCCTCGGTGTGCACGGTGGCACGGCCTTCTCCCTGGGTCCTAGCACCTGCCAGATCTAGCCCTGCCGCCTGGGCATCCTGGCAGAGACGCTGCAGCAGCAGGCTCTCCCAAGAGAGATGCGCTCGGCTGTGCGGGGTGCTGCTACCCCGTCACACAAATTAATAGGATTGTGCGTGATAATTTTTCTAAGGACCAGCACTGGGCCACAGACCACACTTTGGGAAACGCTGGCATAGCTTATTTTGAAATTGAAATTGGGAGCGTCTACACAGCACTTATTTCGAAACAGAGCACTCTTCCTCCAACTTCCCTTATTCCTCGTACTGTGAGGGTTACAGGAGTGGGAGTAAGAAGTCCTCCAGCTTGACAGTATTTTGACATTTCGAAATAACTGCCTGCTGTGTAGATGCGGACTAAATTATTTCGAAATAATGTTGCTGTGTAGACATACCCAAGGAGAATAGCAAATCTAAGGTCCCAATGCCTCTTAACGACTGCTTTACTAGCAGCTCAAAGCTGGAGGGGGTATTATGTTCATGAGACGTCTGCCTGCACATTGCTGTGTTATTTGATGTGCATAGATTCCTATTGTGGCTTGCTGCACTGTAATGCACCATATGAACAGTCCCCAAACAGGGTTAGTTTGGACCAGTGCTTTTGAATGGGACATCTTTCAGGAAGTGGCGTGGGTTTTTCATTGGGAGGAGCTCTTCCGGAGTCATTACCAAATCCTCTGTATCGTAGCATTATGGGTTGCTGTGGTACAGGCGCTGTGTTTTAGATGAGGGATAGAACTAGTATCCTGTCCACTCCTGTGCATTAAAGGCCCCAAAGCAATTTTCTCCAGAAGGTTTTTCACCCCGGTGTCATAGCCAGTTCTGCAGTGCTTGAGAGGGGGTGGAGATGGGGGAGTTGCACGCTAAAGGTCGCTGCTGCATTGATGGGGGCGTCGGGAACATGCATGGGGGCAGTTGCTGTCACAGTGCTGGAGGGTGCATGTGAGAGGTCACTGCTTGGGGCGGGGGCCTTTGCGCGCCACCGGTCACTGGGGGGTAGGGAACTTGCACGCTAGAGCAGGGTTCCATGTGCAGTGCTATTTGTCTCGGATATTGATGGAGCCATTGGAGGACCAACCCAGTGCAGCTCTCCTGCAGAAGGGCCTTTAGTGCACCTGGCAGGTTAATGTCTGGACTGTCGTTCATGCACAGCTGCCCGGCAAGCGGCATTGCGGCGCAGGGGAGCACCTCGCTGATTCATGCTCATGTCAGGCAACCAGGCATTGGCAAGGGAGCCGTGAATCATGGCACAGGCTTGCAGACGACCTGACCCGGGAATGACCGTTCCCAGTCGGGGTGGGATTGCCCTTGCCAAGATGTCCTGGAGGTCACGGCTTTTGTCTTTAAGCACCAGAGGGGGAGGGCTCCTGACTGCTCTACTCTGGTGTTGGTTGGTGACTGGAGCAGTGTGACCACAGTCAGTCTGGAGGGTAGGGTCATACGTCCACGTCTGCCAAGCATGGGCAGCATGGCCCGTTCATGTCTCCTGGCAGAGGAGGGCAGGTGGCAGCCCTGGCATGGCAGGAAGTGGGTACTGACTCCCAGTGCCGTATCCAGAGGATGCACAATGTAGGAGTGGGGCGCCAGTCACAGGAGCATTATCCCCAGACAGAGCGCAAGAGAGGATTATCCCCGAGGAGTAGCCTCTGAATGGGATCTGTTGCCTTTGAGGTCAACAGTCTGTGATTCATTCTCTAGCCAGCTAATTGCTGGAGCTAATCAAGGTGCTGGTCAGCAGGCTGGCTTTCCCCTTTCCGCTGCAGGCTATTAACGTCTCCTCCTGTTCTCTCTCCCCCTCTTCCCTGCTTCCCCCGGGCACATGGAGCAGCAGCGGCCAGTGAAACAGTCCCTCAGTAAGTCCCTCTGCAGAGAATCCCACTGGAAATGCCTGCTCCTGTCCCTTCTCATGTACGGCTGCATGGGAGCTATGACCTGGTGCCACGTGACCAAGGTCACCCGCCTGACCTTTGACAGTGCCTACAAGGGCAAGTCCATGATGTATCACGATAGCCCCTGCTCCAACGGCTACGTTTACATCCCCCTGGCCTTCCTCGTCATGCTCTATGTGGTCTACCTGGTGGAATGCTGGCACTGTTACACTCGCAACGAGCTCCAGTACAAGGTGGATGTGGAGAGCGTGCATGAGCGGGTGCAGAGAATGCAGCAGGCCACCCCGTGCATCTGGTGGAAAGCCATCAGCTACCACTATGTCCGGAGGACCCGACAGGTCACTCGCTACCGCAACGGGGATGCTTACACCACCACGCAGGTGTATCACGAGAGGGTTAACACCCATGTGGCAGAGGCCGAGTTTGACTACTCCAACTGTGGGGTCAAGGACATCTCCAAGGATCTGATGGACCTCGAGAGCTACCCAGCTACTCGGCTCCGTTTCACCAAATGCTTCAGCTTCGCTAACGTGGAGTCCGAGAACTCTTACCTGACCCAGCGCGCTCGCTTCTTCACGGAGAACGAGGGGCTGGACGACTACATGGAGGCCAGGGAGGGGATGCACCTCAAGAATGTGGACTTCAAAGAGTACATGGTGGCCTTTTCAGACCCAGACAACCTGCCCTGGTACGTGTCCCACTATGTCTTTTGGGTGGCTGCCCTGCTGACCCTCTCCTGGCCCCTGCGAGTGCTGAATGAGTACCGCACCTCCTATGTCCACTACCATGTGGAGAAGCTCTTTGGGTTTGATTACATGGCAGCAACACCAGCTGAGGAACGCTCCTTCTGCAGGAGGATGCCGCGTGTCAACACGGTGGACAGCACTGAGCTGGAGTGGCACATCCGGTCCAACCAGCAGCTCGTACCCAGCTACTCAGAGGCCGTCCTGATGGACTTGGTGGGGCTTTCCAGCTGCACCAGCTACTCTGCCTGCAGGTATGGGGGCTACCGGCAGAACTGCGAGCGGTGCCACAGGACTATAAGCAGCTCATCCATCTTCTCCCGCAGTGCCCTGAGCATCTGCAATGGCAGCCCCAGGATCCCTTTCAGCAGCAGCCGCTTCTCGCTGGGCCGCCTCTACGGCTCCCGGCGCAGCTGCCTCTGGCAGAGCCGGAGCGGGAGCCTGAACGAGCAGAGCTGCCCAACCGAGCAAACCCGCCTCTCCAGCCAGGTCACCGTGGAAGAGGAGGACCCGCCTGCTTACCAGGACGCCCTCTACTTCCCCGTCCTTATTGTGCACCGCAACGAGGGATGCCTCAACCATGACCACCGCCACCTCCATCGGAACGGGTCCTGCATGGAGACCTCACTGTGAGCGCAGGGCGGCAAGGGTCTCCCACCATGGAGCCAGACACAGACACTTGGGAAAGGAGGGGATAGCCAGGAAAAAGAGGCTCTGGTGCCCCACTCAGCCTGTGGGATGGAGAGGTCACTGTCTCCTGAGCTCAGAGGATAGGCTCAGCAGCTGCCGCGTTTTCTCCCAGCCACACAGCCCCTTGGTTGTCATGGAGGAGGGGGTGGCAGTCTGTGGCATGGTGCAAAATGACAGGACCAACCACAACATGTAAAAAAAAGACAGAAAAGGAGGGCGGGAGCGAGGTGCTGCGTTTCCCAGCTCTGTCTCCAGAGGCCCCGGCTGGCTGGAATCGTGCTAAATGCCCTGCTGCACCTGTGATCTTCGCCCTGCCCGCCAGCGCTGTGGTCTTACTCTCCTGCAGAGGGTACATGGTGGTCTGAGCGGAGCAAAGACTGGCAGCACATTCCCTTTGGGAGTGGCGATTAACTGCTCATGCGCCAAAGATCCTGCGACACCTGGGCCCACAGAGCTGAAGGGCAGAAGTAGAGGAAATGCTCAGAACCACCAGGCCAACACTTCCCCCGTTTTTGAGACTGTGCGCCGACTGTTACACTGTTCTCAGCTGCTGGGATGGGCATCACCGCCAGAGAGTCCCGGGGATGAGTCCTTTGCCTCAGCTCACCCGGGACAAGAATCGGCGTTCCACTTTCCTGGTGTGGGGTAGCAAGGAGCAGGAAGCAACAGGGAACATACTGAGGAAGGGTTGGAACCAGCAGAGCCGGGCAGTCACAGCATGAAGCCGGTAGGTCTGGCAGGATAAGGCCCGGCTGGCAAAGCAAACCAAGATGCCTGTTGTGTGCGGAGAGTCTCCTGAAAGTCAAAGATTCCCTGTGGGGAAGGGATGAGTTGGGGAAATGGGGCCCCCGCTCTTTGAAATGAGCAAGGTCTAATAATTAATTCAGCCGAGCGAGGAGTCTGGCACCCAGGGAGGTTCTGTCAGGTTCAACTGCAGTTTACTTATTCACAATAGAAGAGCAGGTTGGTGGGTCTTGGGAAGGGGAAGTGTTATGTGGGGTCAAGCTGGCTCCAGTCACTAGTCAAGGGAAGCTGGGTTTGCCCTCAGAGCTCTGCATCAAGGAGGGGCTGGAGATGAGAGGGATGGTGATGTAGAAAGGCCCAGAGTTTCTGCTGTCCCTGCTGGTGAAGGGAAGGGCTGCTAATCTAAAACAGTGCAACCCCCTTGGCCTATGTGGTTACAAGAGGGCTCCTCTCAGCATGATCCTCAGCTCTTGCATCCCACATTGCTCTCTGATGGGTTTACCCAAGCTCTTCAGGGGACTACTGTATACAACTTGCCCAGCAACCTCTTTAGGGTGCCTCTCTCCTAGCACAGACTATTGGGGTGGAACCTCTAGCAGGCTGAACAGTAAATGGAAATCACCACATTCAAAGTACTCTGCAGAGGCCATGCTCCCAGATTCTGTACAGTCTGCAAGCAGGTTCACAGGAGGTAAGAGACCTGAGGGCAGTAGCCAGCTCCCAGGGAGCACGTAAACACCAGCAGAGGCAGCATGACTGGCAGCTCTCTGCCCCGCTTTGGGTGCTGGGAGGAAACAGAACCTTCAGATAAGGTGTCTGCCGCAGAGAAAACAGTTCCTCTTTCAGGTCCCAATCCTGTGATGGGATTCATGTAAGTGGCCCCCGCATCAACACAGAGTCTCATTGGTCAGAGAGGGTCCACCTGTTCCATACAAAAGCATAGCAGGATCAGGGCCGAAAGGGTGATGACCGTGTGCTTGACGTCTCCTGCCAGGTTAGGCTTGTGGGTGAGGCCTTTCAGGAGCTGACACTACAAACTCATGCTCCTGAAAATGACCCTTAGAGAGATATGAGTAGTCACTGGAAATCAGTGGTTCTGCTCACCCCTGGTCATGGGGGCAGGGGCGGGTCC